CAAATGAAAAGACACTTGTTCAAATGAAGTCTCTTTAGACGTTTGAGAGGAAAACTATCTTTCCCTAGAAACAAACACACAGCATCTGCAGCAGCCATAACTTAGAAAAGAATAAACAGCTTTCTAATGAACACACCCTGTCCCTCATGCACACTTAGGAATGTCAAGTGAGTGAGTTTTAAGACTCTCCTCTTCCACTCTGCTTACTAACTATCAGGAATCTGCTCTGGGCTGGTGACACCACCATGACATCCAGGATGTCACCCAGCTTCTGGGCCGGCAGCTGGAGAACCAGAGAAGGTTCAAAACAGCTCCATACAGCTGGCTCCTAGCAAATGACCTATCGAATAAACCCCACGCCTTTTCCATCCACAGTAGACACCCGCAGTCTCTTGCTTCTACTTACTGATAAGTTCTGGTCCCATCCATACCTAGAATGTTCTGCCTGAACTTAACATGATCCTACCAAAGTCTAGAGGGGGGGAGCCTTGGCGATTTTCCTAATTTAAAAACTGTATTTTCGAGGAGGTTGGGGGTGGCTCACACCTTTAATCCCAACCCTTGGGAGACAGGCAGGCAGATTTCTGTGAGTCCGAGGCCAGCCCGGTCTACAGAGTGAGTTCCAGGACACCCAGAACTGTTGCACAGAGAAAATCTGACTCAAAAACAAAAACAAAAACAAAAAACCAACCAAACAGAAAAACCCTGTATTTGCAATAAGAAATTATGTTTCCCACTTCAGTGACATTATAAAATCAGATAGAAAAATCCACTTTTGCAGATAAATGCTTTTCCAAAGCCAAGTAGCTTCTGTCAGAGTACTACTGAGGAGCTTGTGTGCCCCAGTGTGTCCCCAACTGAGCTGTTCCCTAGTCAGCTGGCACCATGAAGCCAGCAATCTCTCTGCCCAGGAGGATGAGTTAAAAGTCCAACAGACTGGGCATTGCTGTCTGCAGGGGACACGGACTAAGCAGTGTGGCTCTACACAACACCACAGTCTTCAAATGAGAGCCATTATCTTTGCACCTCTTTTCCATGATAACTGGTCTCTGCTGTGGCCCCAGGGGAGCCAGCATGTTCTCAGTTCTGCTTTCTGGAAGCCATCCTCACAGACCCAGAGACATCACAGAAGGCAGAGGTTCTGTAACCCACTTGACATGGTTTGGATGTATTTGGAAGAAATATGTACAACTTGTTCTTTCCAATGCTGGAAGAAAAATCAGTTTGCCACTTTCTTTACTCCAGCACTGTGAGGCCTGGCAGGGGTTCTAAGAAGCAAGGGCCAGGGCTGGGGTAGGAGCAGGGGAGCAGGGGCGGCTTGGTGTACAGCACCCACTGGGCCAGATGCCAAGCACGCTAGGGATGCACCAGAGCCTGTGCCTGGAACCAACCTTTGAGGACCAGAGGGCTGCAGTGGCCCAGACTGGGCTAGCTGTTTACCCAATCCAACAAAGGCAGCACAGGCAGAGAGCTCATGTTTTAAAGACATGTCCTTTTGTGGCTTTTGTTTTTCTCCCCTAATACCATGAAAAAGATTTTGCTAATGCTAATGTTAGACCCCCGAAAACTCAAGTATCCGGGGTCTCAGGCCAGGGTCGCGGTCACCCCAATCACCAGGCGGATTCGAGAGCTTGCTGCAAACTGCATGAGGCTTTATTGTAATTTAACGAACTAACCCCATGTTAGCTCGGGTCTTGCACCCCCCCGCCATGGCAGCCGGCTAGAAAAAGACGGCTCCTAAGGTCTCCCCAAAGATCTTATAGGGCAGCGTAAGGGGAGTGTCTAGGGGTACGCACAGGCTCATCATTGGTGTGCCTCCAGGCTTGGAGGCCTTGCCCTGTGTTGGTCAACTGGTTGTTCTGGGCCATAGGCCCTCCCAGGGTGGTTGCTATGCTCTCGACGTCATTGTCGTGCGCTTGTCCGTAAAGCACACCCAGGGTCGTAAAGCATAGCGCCACCAGCTAACTTCTGATTGGTTCCTTGTCACAAGACCTGCATCTGACCTCTAAGTGACTAAGGTTCCTTGTCACGAGACAGGCATCTGACCTCTACGTGACCACGGCAGGTTTATGGCAAGCACGTGTTCGGCTGTTATGGCTGCCAAAAGGAAGCTGGTTCCTTCACTAAGAGTTTGGATTAGCAGGAAAAAACAAATGGGGGTGGAAACAAAGAACGGTCCAGAGCACGTGTCTCCACAGATTGTGCACACCTGGGCACCACAGGCTACCAGAGCTAGCTAGCTTTTTGCTTTTTTTTCCAGCAATGAAAATATGAATGGCTGAAAATTCTTAAAACTCACTTTTTCTACTCCAGAGACTTTCCCACTTTCTTCATCAGAAAATGGAGGACAAGCTCCCCCAGCCTGTCCCAATGTCATCGTCCGTTTGTTCTGTCTATCTTTATTTTCATCAGATTGAGACTTTGGGGAAATTGCATCAATCCACCAGAACATATATATACATGCTCCTTAAAAAAAAAAAAAAAAAAAAAAAAAAAAAAAAAAAAAAAAAAAAAAAAACTTATCTGAAAAAATTTTAATTTTAAAGAAAGCCAAGTTTCTCTATTAGAAGATGCAGTGATTTTCTTTTCCCCTTCTCCCCCTGGTTAGGTTTAGAGGTGAGACTCCTCTGGGGCTGGGATGATGTGCAAGAGCAATGTTACCCAGCTTGTCCAGGGTGGTCTAGGGACTGGGGCAGTGTATGAACAGCTGGCCCAACCCCAAGTAGCTAGCTTGAGTCAGCATTCATCTAAGAGACTGTCACTACCCAGGAACTCTGTAGCCTCAAGCTCCACACTGGACAGAAATCTCCTCAGCTTCTTGTGGCAGTTGTAATCCGGAGTGGTGGTGTAGATGGTCTTGGGGTACTTGGGGTAGGTGATGGTAGTGCTGAGAAAGCGCAGCCTTGTGGCGGGGCTGGAAGTGCACCTCAGCCTTTTAGTTTCTCGCCAAGTGCAACTGGGGATACAGGTGACTGGCTGCAGGAAGCCACTGCCAGGCCCAGGGGCATCTGTACATCATCAATGAAGTGACGCTCAGAGTCATACTTGACTGAGGAAGTATACTTTATTTCCTTTGGTGGTAGTGGGTCAAACTCGACTCCTTCGCCAAAGGACAGGGGACAGAGTGGTGAACAGACAAGCAGCCAGAGACTGTGTTATTGTTTTGTTTAAAAAGAAGAAAAGAGAAATTGCTGAGCCAGACATATTGACTATAAATTTATTACAAGGCCTGGCAGAATGGGGGGATTAAGAGGAGTATCAGGGGTAAAAGGCTGACCGCCATGGCCGGTCGCCATAGAGAGAGAGAGCAGGAAACAGAGAAACAGGGGGAGAGAGAGAGAGACAGAGAGAGAGAGGGAGAGAGAGAGAGTGTGTGTGTGTGTGTGTAAAGGGGCTGGGGCTTATCTTTTAAAGGGGTCCTCTGCACCTGCGTGCAGACTTCTTTCCCATGGAACCTTGGGCTGACCAGGGTATTGCCTGAGTGGATTCCACCAGGTAACAGGGGCAGGCCAGCATAATGCCTGAACCTTTCAG